CATTCTTTGTAAGTGGGCAAACCTGCAAAATCAGCAAGGGGTCAAATTTTGAGGTCCTTAAGCCAGTTGATGCCTGTTAGCCACTCCAGGGACTCCCTGTTGGTTCTCAGTACCAAATCACCCGGCAGTCATCCTGCCAAAAGGTCTGACTCAGCACCAGGTGATGATCGGTTCACAGCGTTGCACCTCTCTTTGACTCAGAGGCAAACGCACACAACCACAAGTCCGATGACCCAATTACAAGGTCTCTCGTGGACGGCCTGGTAGCAGGTACACCCATGAATCATCCTCTATTTGTAATGGACACATGCACACTCACGCTCTGTGTGGCAGGGAGAGGGGAATAAAGAATGAAAGAATGCAGTGGTTTATGGTTAACAAACACCAAACAAACACTCTTTCTAAGCTTTTTTCCCGGATCACATCACAAAGCCTTATGAGGTCAAGAAAATTGGGTCGCAGAGATTTTTAGGAGCTAAGAAAAAAGGATTGAGAATAATTGAGAATCGAGTTAGCTTCCTGCTTTAGCAGAGTGCAGCTTCTGTGGCTGAGATGCCAAACAAATCTGAATGTTTCAGTTTCAATGTTTAACCTGCTGTGTAGATCATTCACCAACAATATTTCATGTTCTGAAAGGTTCCGCTTTGCTCCAGTTAATTCCCAAAGGTTTCTTTTTCTTTCCTTCTCAGGATAGCTTATTAAGAACTACTTTTCTTGTTTGTTTTTGTGCTCAAAAAGAGTAACGAGCCGGCCTTTGCATAGTGTTACCAGAATCCTCTATCATATCAGGTATACCCGGTACACTGACGTAGGTCCTTCTCCTACACACACACTGCACTTAAGGTTTTAGCTAAATTAGCTGTTGTTTGATATAAGAAAACCAAAGACGTAAAGCTGTACCGTGTTGGTTGATGTCCACTCCAACAACTGAACATGGGCTAAGGGCAGAAGCCTTCAGAAGAAGAACTCCTTTTACACAAACCCTCTAAGAGAAAAGACCAGCACCTCATAGGGTCCAGTTTTATTCAGAAACAAACACTGTGATGCTACTCTGTGCTATGTGAGGCAGATGTGTGTTTCTGCTGGTGTACAGTCAGCGTTTTGATGCCTGTGCACCACACTCTTACTGTGCATTTGCTCTGATTGGGCCTAAATCGAGCCTGACAGTGTAAAAAAGGCGATCGAATGCAGCTGGGTGGTGTTGATACCCACTCTCTGCCCATTGATCCGGCTCTATTTGTGCTCACTGGGAGCTGCACCTGCTCGGGCTTTTGTCTGGAGTGGATTAGCAGTCTGGTTCGGTCTCATGTTCCCAGACTTCAGAGCAGGATATCACTCCCATGTTTTTACATGTATTCCCTGTAAGGGGTGACAAAGGAAGATTCCAACATGAACGTTAAATCACCTTCAGAGTTTCAGTCGGCAGAGGTTTCCAAAAAATCGCATTATTAGTCCTTAACATCTAATTTTGTCTGATCTCCTGCCTACTTAATGTTTCATATTGATTTTTTTTTCCAGCAGTGTCAAATGGACACCTAGCATTACGCTCTAATGATAATAACAACATCTACATGACATCCATAGAGACCCACAAAGCAGATACATTAGTCAGCATCAACCTGACAATAAGCTACATAGAAGAAAATCACCAGTCAGACTCTGTTAGAGGAAACAGTGTAGAGGGAAGAACAGATTCTTAATGCTTTGCCCCTTTTTCCCTTGAGCCCCTCGCTTCAAAGTGGTAAACAGAGAGAATTATTCAAGCTCAGATCAGCTAAAGGCTCTCCATCTCTGTTTCCTTCCCTCGGGGCCGAGGCTGATCTGGGAGGTTTTTGTTTAACGTTATTTCGTTACCTTTGGGTTTCTCACAGAGAGAAAAAGTACCTTTCAATGACCCACTTCTGCAACACGACACATGACATATTGTTTTTGTTGCCTCCGAATCAAAGAGGAGATTCTGTGTTTCGCTGGATTAGATTATTTAGAGAAACTGGAGCTCTGAAATCAGCCTCTCCGCGGGTGACTGTAACAGTTTGGGCTTAGCGTGGGCTCCCACACATACCTGTGGAGATCAGTGAAGGTTTAGTCTGGTTCTTTTGATAAGTAACAGTACACAGCTGTTTAATTAGGGGCTTACACCGTTCACCCCGGTGTACTTTGATCCCACTTTGAGGCCTTTGGAGACTTCGGCAACTGCTTTTACCCAGAATTATACGTCATTCTTCATGACCTCTTTCCGGCCTATCTGATCTGGTCCATCCTCAGACCACAGTCAGAATTGCCCTCATATATTGGCTGATGTTTGACAGATGTGAGGGACTCTGATGTGAGGGCCACTGTGTGACCTAGCCTAACTGACCCTCTGCAAATATAGGAGACAGTTCTTGCAGAAGAAGAATGCCTTGAGCTGGGCAGCAGATTCGGTCATATTCGGTTTACAAATTTACAAAGTTCTGAATGGATTAGCCCCACCTCCACTTTCTACCTACATTAGGCCTGGCAGACGTATTTGCACCAGAGCCTCTTCCAGAGATCCCTAGAGATCCCCCCAAAGAAGAACAACCTTTGGACAAACCGTTCTATCATTTAGAGGGGGTCACTTCTGGAACAGCTTCCCAACAAACATCAGGGAACGTCCCACTTTTTACACATTTAAAAAGCACCTTAAACTGTTTTTCAAAAGTTCCCGGTCATGCAATCACTAATTTTATTGTTGTAATGTCATTGTCTGAACGTGTGCCTCTCTGTTTTAACTGATATTGTATTATGTGATTTTGTGTTGTTTTGTCTTCCTGCCTCAGGACAATTCAATTAAATTAAATTAAATTTTATTTATATAGCGCAACAACAGTTGTCTCACAGCGCTTTCCAAACAGAGCAGGTCAGACCCTACTCTGAAGTTAATTACAGAAACCCAACAATTCCCACCATGAGCAAGCACTAGGCGACACAGGCAAGGAAAAACTTAATTTTAACAGGCAGAAACCTCGAGCAAAACCATGGCTCAGGGCGGGCGGCGGCCATCTGCCTCGATGTGCTACAGATGTAAATTAGCAACCATGCTAGAATCTGGCTCATTTACAATCTGTATGAGATTGTTCATTAATGTGCACTGTCCTGATTAAATGAATAAATGAGTATTGTTCTAGCTGTCTGTTTCGGACTTTCTGACGGTCCGGTTTCTTTCCCCCCACAGAGGATGAACCCGTGGTGTTTGCCAATAATTCCCTCCAGAGGCGGAAGAAGGCGACGGGCCTCACCGTGCTGCTGCCCACCGCCTCGGGCTCCATCAAGAACAAGGGAGGCCTCACCATCAGCGAGCCCCTCAACTTCAGGCAGATATCCTCCATCATCGACGTGGACATCCTACCGGAGACCCACCGGCGGGTGCGCCTGCACAAACACGGCACCAGAAAACCGCTGGGCTTCTACATCCGCGACGGGGTGAGCGTCCGGGTGACGCCGCAGGGAGTGGAGAAGGTAAGGCCGGTTTTCTGCTACTGTCTATGTTTATGTTTGTGCTGTTATCCAAAGCTTACAAAGTAGACGCAGTGTTACAGTTATCATAAGTTCTCTAGAGGAAAAACCCCAGTCAGAATCAGTGGTGACAGCAAAGAGATAGAGGGAAAAACAGGAAGAGTTGTATAGGGTAAGGAGGAATGGGGTTAGGATAGAAGATGCCCTTTAAAGAGGTGATATCTAGAGGAAAATCCCCAGTCAGAATCAGTGGTGACAGCAAAGAGATAGAGGGAAAAACAGAAAGAGTGGTAGAGGGTAAGGAGGAATGAGGAAGAGTCAGGATAGGAGATGCTCTTTAAAGAGGTGGGTCTCTAGGAGTTTCCTTAAGATAGACACTCCACTTTCAACTGATCATAGCTGCTTCATTCATCAGACTACTCAAACCCAGGGTGGAGGACAGTCGTTTCAAAGAGAGATAAACCCATGTTTCAGTAAACGAAGCATCAGAATCAAGGACTGTCCACAACAAAGACCGTTCATGTAAAAGTCCATCAAATGGCTAAAGGCCAAGGACATGTTTATGTTTATTCATTTAGATGCTTTTATCCAAAGCTTTCAAGGTAGACACAATGTTACAGTCATCATAAGATCTCTAGAGGAAAAAACCCCAGTCAGAATCAGTGACAGCAAAGAGATAGAGGGAAGCAAAGGAAGAGTAGTAGAGGGTAAGGAGGAATGGGGTTAGGATAGAAGATGCCCTTTAAAGAGGTGGGTCTAGGAGTTTCCTTAAGATAGACACTCCACTTTCAACTGGTCATAGCTGCTTCATTCATCAGACTACTCAAACCCAGGGTGGAGGACAGTCGTTTCAAAGAGAGATAAACCCATGTTTCAGTAAACAAAGCATCAGAATCAAGGACTGTCCACAACAAAGACCGTTCATGTAAAAGTCCATCAAATGGCTAAAGGCCCCAGGACATGTTTATGTTTATTCATTTAGATGCTTTTATCCAAAGCTTACAAAGTAGACGCAATGTTACAGTTATCGTAAGGTCTCTAGAGGAAAAACCCCAGTCAGAATCAGTGGTGACAGCAAAGAGATAGAGGGAAGCAAAGGAAGAGTAGTAGAGGGTACGGAGGAATGGGGAAGAGTCAGGATTGGAGATGCTCTTTAAAGAAGTGGGTCTCTAGGAGTTTCCTCAAGATAGACACTCCACTTTCAACTGATCCTAGCTTCTTCATTCATCAGACTACTCAAACCCCAGGGTGGAGGACAGTCGTTTCAAAGAGAGATAAACTCATGTTTCAGTAAACGAAGCATCAGAATCAAGGTCTGTCCACAACAAAGACCGTTCATGTAAAAGTCCATCAAATGGCTAAAGGCCCCAGGACATGTTTATGTTTATTCATTTAGATGCTTTTATCCAAAGCTTACAAGGTAGACACAATGTTACAGTCATCATAAGGTCTCTAGAGGAAAAACCCCTGTCAGAATCAGTGGTGACAGCAAAGAGATAGAGGGAAGCAAAGAAAGAGTGGTAGAGGGTACGGAGGAATGGGGAAGAGTTTGGATAGGAGATGCTCTTTAAATAGGAGTTTAGGAGTTTCCTGAAGATAGACAGGGACCCCAAAAAGTCTCACGTCCCCCACGTGAGACTTTTTTGGCTGATTGAAGACCAGATCATCTGGATCATTTGTAATGGTTTTTACCGTCTAGGCTCAGGAGATAACCACAAACTGACCAGGAACTGGGGAGCATGTTGGGTTAGGGATGGCCGGATCTTTCTTATGTTTAGTAGTGTGAAGCTCCAAGATGGAGAAATAGTGGTCACATGACCTTTAACTCATTCGCTGCCAAAGACGTCTATAGACGTCTTTTATGTTTTTCAACGAGAGTGACTTGGGGGACGATCGGCTAAAGCTTGTCCGTAAATATCGGCTTCCAGACAGAGTATGTAGTAACAAATTGACCCTCTAGGGGGCAGTGCCGCTTTTGATGGGAGATGAGCATAGACTGTAGGTAAATAAGAAAAACGCAATGGTTCGCTATGCGAAAAATGGCGCCGGTGAGACGCAAGTCGAGGAAGAACGGAATAAGGTAGAAACAAAAATTTTCTCCTGATGAAAGAAGAGAGTCTACTCTTTCTTTTGGTGTGTTCGGTGTTTACATAGTCATAGCACAAACTATTCTGTGGCTCTTGAAAAATCAGTCAAAATGCTAAAAAAACTCTGGCAGTATGGGACTCTGTTCTGAAAATAGCTGGCAGTCAATGAGTTAGCTGGTTGTCAATCGTGACACTACTGTAGGACCAGCTCCCTGTTGGGACGTAATTAAGAACACGAGAGGCTGTCCTGCTGGATCTTAGTAGATCTGTTGGTCCCTTTGGGTTGTAGAGGGGTTCTGGACTCCATTAGGGGCAGAAGTTCATGGGGGGAAAACATCGTCACTCCACCTTGGAACATACAGTGGGGGAAATAAGTATTTGACCCCTTGCTGATTTTGCAGGTTTGCCCAATTACAAAGAATGCAACGATCTATAACTTTAATCATACGTACATTCTAACAGTGAAAGACAGAATCCCAAAGAAAATTCCAGAAAATCACATCATATGAATTTATAAAAATTGATAACCATCTGATGAGGAAAAAATAAGCATTCTTTGTAAGTGGGCAAACCTGAAAAATCAGTAAGGGGTCAAATACTTATTTCCCCCACTGTAGGCATGTTGTAGATACACTAAAACAGGACAAAATGTTTTAGAAATTCCCTAAATTGGATCCAGCAGCAGACAGAGATACGCAGAAAGTCAGAATCCTGGTGATAAGGCAGAGGAGGACACCCTGTCTAAGACCTTCTCTCTCTCTCTCTCTCTCTCTCTCCATCCCTCTCTCTCTAAGAAAATTGGACGGTTGTTAAAAATTTTTCTTGGTCAAGCAAAGCTTGCAACATATTTGAGTAGAAAATTTCAAATGAACAATGAACAGAATATTGATTGTGTAAACTCTTTAAGAGTATGGTGAGAGCAAGAGTGATGTTAGAATATAAATATTATTTGAAAATGGATGAACTGAATATTTTTCAGAATATTTGGGATTATGAAGGTGTTTTATTTACTGTAAATGATTCTGAACTGTCATTTATGAAGGTGCTAATTTGATGTTGCGTTGAATGTTCCTATGTTTCACCAATGAGTGAATAAATTAGTTTTTAAAAATCAAAATCAATCTCTCTCTCTCTCTCTTTCTCTCTCTCTTTCTCTCTCTCCTGGCTTCTGAAGGTTCCTGGGGTCTTCATATCCCGCCTGGTGCGAGGCGGACTGGCAGAGAGCACAGGACTTCTGGGCCTTAATGATGAAATCCTGGAGGTCAACGGCATTGATGTAGCGGGAAAATCTCTGGATCAGGTAAAGCAGCCGATAACTTTATCCATGTCGGGCTCATCCTAATTAAGTGACCGTAGAGTGACGGACCAGAGGTATTCGAGCTGTAAGTGCTGGATTTTTTATCACATAGCCAGTTAAACTCAGTTTACCAGTTCACTGGACAGCCAGAAAATTAACTACATGAAGTCAGGCGTCAGTTGTTTCTAAGCCAACCGGAATTCAAACCATGGTCATTGGTAAAAACGCATTAAAAAGCATTTGCCGTTAAAAAGTTTAATAATTAGATATGAATACAGTGAGCGAAACAATCCATTGGGATCATGGCAAAGTAATAGATTTTACACAAAAAGCTAAATACAAGCCAACCTGAATTCAACCTAAATTCATACCATGGTCATTGGTAAAAACGTATTTAAAAAGCATTTGCCATTAAAAAGTTGAATAATTAGATATGAATACAGTGAGCAAAACAATCCATTGGGATCATGGCAAAGTAATAGCTTTTACACAAAAAGCTAAATACACCACCAGATGGACATCATATCTCATTATTTTTTAAAAGGTCAGTTTGCTGGTCAGTGTTCTGGTCAGGTGGGGTGGTTTTGGTGGCCTTTTATCCCCCAAAGGTTGAGACAATGTGGAAAACAAATGCTCACCAAAGTATTTTAATCATAGTTGAAGACAGTACATATAAGAAAAAGCTTGGACAGCCGTTTCCCTCCTCTAAAAGCTGCTGGACCTTTGTTAGAGGAATTCTGCTCCATCCTGGTTTGTTGAATGGTCTCAGATGGTGAAGCATCCGGACCATTTTAGGCCCTCTAGAGCAGTGTTTTTCAACCGTTTTTGAGCCAAGGTACAGTTTTTCATTGAAAAAATCACGAGGCACACCACCAACCAAAAATGTTAAGCAAATCTGTAGCCGCCTATAGTAACACTATAGTTATTCTTATTTTATTCTTATCTTACCTTAAGTGTCTTGAATAGAAATCAAATAAACACAAACATTTATTTTTATCTTATTTTAGATTTCTTCTTTCAAATTGCACTTAACATGTCCACTTCAATATGCAAAATTACATATAAAATCTAGTCATAAGGAATTATTACATTTTTATGCCACCAGTCACTAGAACAGCACAGACACTCAAAAATGGCATATTATTTGCAGAAAATTAATTCCTTTTTAGACCAATTAGGTGAAATAGGATGATTTTCTACGGCACACCTGACCATCACTAACACCACACTAGCATACCGAGGCACAGTGGTTGAAAAACACTGCTCTAGAGGAAGACGTTGCTCTAAAAGCTGTAATCTAATGCCCACACCATCAGAGATGCAGAAAAGAGCTTATTATTCCATCTGGGAGCCTAAGAGTTTCCGGTTATCTGGCTTGAAACTAGCTTTGTTACTGAGAGAAAGCTCCTGGCTCCTCTGAGTTTCCTCTCTGTCCTTCCAGGTGACGGACATGATGGTGGCCAACAGCCACAACCTCATCGTCACCGTGAAGCCGTCCAACCAGCGGAACAACGTCATGCACCGCAGCAGTAAAAGCTCGATGGGCCACTCGGGCTCCGTGGGCTCGGCCGGATCCGCCGGCTCCGCCCTGTCCCACGACTCGCCGAGCCCGGCCTCCCAGAGCAACCCGCTCACCGCCAGGTACGGGGAGGAGCGCCTGTCCGCACACGCTATTTCATAAAGTGTTTTAATTTAATTTAATTTAATTTAATTTAATTTAATTTAATTTAATTTAATTTTTTATTTTATTTTATTTTATTTTATTTTATTTTATTTTATTTATTTTATTTTATTTATTTT